ATAAATGATTATCCGCAGGAATTAAAGCACGTTGCTGCATCATTAAACATTCAAAGGTCATTAAGCATAAATGTAAAAAGTGCTTCAAAGCACATACGATGACCATGCGCTCTTATTTTGCTGTTATAATTTCAACTCAATGAGGTGATCATTGTAAGCAACAATCAATATGGATTTCAAATGAGTAAACACAATACACACATTAATGCTTAAAAGACTCTTTGTTAATGTATATAAGTTATCAACAATACTCATTCAATGCATTGCTTAAGGGTTTAAGTCACTCAAGAATCAAATTTATAATATTAAAACTCATTAAAATGCTAAAACACACAAGTTTATTTTTTTAAACACAAATGTGTCACATATTTCTAAGCAAAGCCATAGTTATGTTTAACTACAGTGTAATAACACTCAAAAAGCATTCAGGAGACACACAGGATTATAAATATCTTGGCTAAAGCAACTGTTAGGACTCCTAACATGTTTAGGCTACTTCTGTTTACAATACATGCGATTCACATTTACAATAAAGTTTATTTTCGGTTTTGTTGTTGTATAACGTGCTCCTATTCACGCAGAGCTACAGCAACTTAAAGCTGACAGACGAACAGCCTACACACAGCCAAGGCCCTCCTTTCCTATCGAATACCGTCCAAAACAGCCATAAAACTACACACGTTTTTAATTGATACAGTTGAAGACGTATTTCCACTTCATTAAGCAGGTGCACAATAATAAAAAAACACCATGAAAAAGTAGAAGCGGAGCAGTCTAGCACGTGCTGAAGGGCTTAATTCATAAACTAATACAGGCCTTATAACACGGATTTTTATTCAAAGTGATCTTTAATAAAAAACTAGTTTGTCATGGATATGGAAAGAGTTAAATTACTCGACGAAGTCCTGCCTGCAGATGCAGGAAAGCTTTTACAAAAGAGTTAGGCTATATGAAAAGAAGGTCGGTACCAGAGCAAAAAATAATTAAATAAATAAAGTGCCAAAAGATACAGTTTCAGATATATATTTGCAATAATATTACAAGCACAAAGAACAACTAAGTATTCCTCAAACATTTCCAACGATTAATAATAAGATAAAATACTTAGGCTTTACTTAATGTATGCATTATCCTCTCATAGCCACATAAGATGTAAAGACATACATATTTAGGTTATATGTGAAACGTAGAATGATTGAAACAAGACATAAAAAGTGTTTGACAGGCACTCATAATTATAATTCAAAATATATTAATGTACCGCAAAGCAAAACGGGGTTAATAGACCAGAGGTCATGATTTCTCCTAAACCCTACTGTATAATGTATTTATATTCAATAAAATACTTTGCTTTTAATCAATATGTCTAAACTTTAAAAAATCATTAACGTTAAATTAAATCTTATTCGACTGTTATATAGCCAAGGTGCGTTGTTATATATATACATAAATAAGTAAAAGGGTCAAACTTCCAAGGCCGCACTGCCAAAAATGTAAGACTGTCGGTGCGTAAATTATTAAAAAAAAAATAAAAACTGAGTGCGAACAAACTCACACTTTGTTAAATAAAAATGAGACTGTTAAAATGTGTTTATCCCGTTAAAAGCAAGCTTTCCCTCAATTCAGTTCACACGAAAACACTCAAATAATCAAAGTAGCCAACATCGGATAGAATCTCCCCACATTAAATGACAAGCTTTTCATGTCATTTGCTATAAATAAACAGCTTATATAAGACAGACATTTTATAATACTGCGTCGGGAAACAGAGGGCATATGATAAATTAATGAAAAATGTGTCTGGGCTGCTTTTTCCACTACGGGCCAATGCCATGGCTCCATACCCGCCGTCTCCTACCACACAGAGATAACAATACAATGAGAGCTGTGATCGGACGGCCGCTAAAAGGCCCCGTTGCCTCCAAAAAAACTGAAGACGAGCTCCAATGTGTTTTGCCATATGAAGTTTTTTGGTGTTAAAATGGCCGAGAGATTTATTGTTTGCGTAGCCTCCAAACGCGTGCGTTATAGGCAACAAGCTGGCACTTCACAACACGGAGTCAAAAAGAGGTCATTCAGTAAGTACAAGCATTAGAATCCAGAACAGATGGGCATTTATGTTTTGTGACTGAAACTAAATTTCGCTTTCTTCGCATAGTCGGAGCGAGCACTAAAAAATTCGGTCACTTAGCAAGCCTGCGTATCCTAATTTAATAATGCCAAATAACGGACATGGTAAAGCGCCAGATACACTCCCTACAAAACTCCGCAGCTTTAGTATAACTACAATTCAAGCTGGCTTTTAATACATCCACTGAAAAACAGCAACATTCATAACAATTCTGCTTATGTCTGAGATAGCCCGAGTCCAGAGGCTAGCGCGCAAATCTACAGGGGTCAATAAAATATTAGCAATAGCCCGGAAAATACTGGGATTCCGGATAAGCGGCGGAAATGTTTAAATCATCACTTGTATCTCGAGTTAAACAAAATACTTCGCATTCTGGAGCCCATTGGAGATACTTGACACTTAACACACGTTCAAAGCGGTGTTATTCTATCAAATATTTTGGTCGTATGTAGGGAAGTCCCTAGCGGCTCTGCTTTTCGTGTCATGGTTCAGTGTTGTTACGGTTAACTTGGCGTAAATATTAAAACGCACTGCAAACGAACACAACCCATAAGAAGTACATACAAAGTCTTCACATCCCGACAACAGCTTGAACTAGTATAAAATGAGTGACCGAGCGAGGAATTACATGGTCATTCCACCTGAGACGTCACTCCAAACAAGCATTTAGATAATTGTTTTGCTGTGTTTCACAATTTAGACAAGCACTAGATGTTCAGGGAAAACTTCAGAATGGAGATCCTGGGGATTCTTTCGCAAGTAAATGTAATTTCACTAGCAAGTTTGCTTTTTCCTCTTTAAAGCTGGTTCACTTATAAAACACTGCTGAACAATGAGTAAAGTCTTGCGACTGAGCTATTACTTTAAGCTCGAGCTTAAGTTTTTCCCGGCTCATATCAAGGGAATGACTGCTATTACTCTTATAAATAGCCTAACATAAATAGTATAAGTACCCTCCCCCTCCCTTCCCTCTCCCTATTTCTTACCTGCTGCTTTAAGGGTCTTTCTTCTCCAGTGGCTACAGCGCTTCACAGCTTCCCCGGTTTTCCCCAGGCAAGGACTGAGTTTATTAATATTGTCCCTTACTTTGTTTCATTTCTCACTTCCATCTTCTTTCATCTCATCAATAAACACACGCTGCAGCCTACCTTCGGAGAGGACATCACGCAGCTCGCTCGTGCCCTCCCATTTTTTCACTATTCGTCGAAGATTTTGGGCAGCCACGCCTTTCTGCTGGCGATTGGAACAGAATGGACTTTCTTGAAGCACGTAGGTTGTGATATAAATCGTTCAACATGACTTTACCCCAATCGGTGAGCCGCACGCCCTCCCTTCCGCGCGGCGAGGAACGCTGAAACTGGCTCCATTGTGGCTCTGAAAGTGAAACTATTCTTGCCTTGTCGCGATTGTTGTGCTTGAACCAGCATGGACACTACGCATCCTCAGTTTCCTAACTGTACAAGTGCACCGCTGAGTGTGTCGAAGGTCCCCCTTTGGAGGAGTTTCTGCTTTCACCCCCTTGATTCCTGAGCGTGGTCAAGTGCATACATTAGCACGAATTAAACGTTATTTGGTCAAACAAGCGCGAATTAAACTCCGGGAAATCCATGTCCCATCCACGACCAAAAGGCCAGTCATCCGAGAATCCCGCATGTTGATCATTTATAGATAGCCTACTTTAGATTGGTTAGGGAGGATGTCAATAAATTTCTCCAAATTATATCCGCGCCCACATTGGATGATGACGCTGCCCGTCAGATTTGGGGACCAACAAGCTAGATTGCTCGCCGCCCGTTGGCTTTTACTTTCTACGCATTTCTATTTTCTCATTTATTTATTTTTTAACGTCCCTAGCTGACCTCAAGGAAACGTAAGGAGAGTTGCTGACGGCACTGCTGGCCAATCAGATCGTGTAAAGTGACACCGAAGTTTTTTGTTCACCAATACGTTCACAGAGCCGTTGTGACGGACTCAAAATAATGCAATAGTGGTTCACGAGTCCCCAGCTACACTGAGCAGTGCCCCCTCCTCCCGACTCCCCCCAGTCTAGACAATGACAGGTGTGTGTGTGCGCGCGCGCTCGTCTGTAGTCTAGACGAGGAATAATCAACCTTCAAGCCCAAGTGATTTTTTTTCAGGCGTTATATATATATATATATATATATATATATATATATATATATATATATATATATATATATATATATATATATATATATATATATATATATTCATACACACACACACTACAATTTGAAAATGAACTAGTAATCGTGCAAACGTGTCTCAGAGATATGAATGAACAGAGTAATTTACATATATCTCGAATATGACGATGTCTGGCAGCGTTATAATTATAATTTACGACGTCCCGGCAGGAACCTTTGATGGCAAATATCAAAGAGACATGTTTACATAGAACAAGCCAATTCGTGGGTATCTGTTCTGTATATTACTATGATAAAGGAGCGGTTCGACCTTGGCACACGTAAATATTTCGTCACATGTAACAATCCCTCTCCTCCATAATATCATCCCGCTTAGTATGAGGTTTCCGGTCCGCTTGCGCGCTTTTCTTGATATGGAGGTCCCCCTTTCGGTTGTAAACATGAACAGCAGCGTTTCACCGAGAGGTTCACCGGGGGACACGCACACCGTCTGCCCTACATAAAATGCACCCATTGTAGGCCGAGGTGTCAGCTGAGGACGACTTGCAACCTAGAAACAGCAGTTTGGCCCCTCCTTCTCTTTGTCAGGCGCATTGTAAACGTTAGCCCGAAGTCTTCTGAGGTACTTTCTCCAAAAATAGCGCATAAAACTGGCATTAACAGCAGAAATGACATTTCGTCCGCATGACTGTAGTTTTGTTCTCTCCGAATAACCGTTTTCTAGACCCCCCACGAATCTTTATCAAAGGCGCTGTCCCGGGAAACTATGCCCAATGACATCATCCAAGCCTTTTGTATACAGTTGCTAAGGGTTACAGGGTGACATTTCAAAAACAATCCCCTGCTGTAGATACATTCGATATACTCGGTCCCGGTTGTGTACTAACGTTAAACGGACTAAACACAAACTTTAGTCTTTATTTTAAAACAGAGGTATTTCTACTTGATATTAGAGAGCGAACTGTTTGAGTACATTAGCAATAATGCTTCGCGGAAGCACACTTCGCAACTTACTTTTTGAGTATATCGTATGCTAAAGAAGACTTTAGCGTAAACTTTGTGAGATGGCAGACTTTGATACATCAGAAAAAGTGCTTATCACCGAAAGTGCGGACACCGTTCGTACTACGGACCCTTATGAACGCTCTGTTGACTATATGGAGACTCATAATATCCTTCAAATATTTCAGGTGAGAAAGAACAAAGCTGCTGCTACTCATATATTTTCTTACGAAGAAAATGGTAGACAGTGAAGAACTGCTTTGCACAAAATGGCGAAGGAGCACTAATAGAAGTTCCTAAAAATGTAGCTGCGTTAAACTATTGAAGTGTTTCACTTTATTTTAATAAACGTGTTCACGCATTAAAATTATAAATGTAAGAAAGGAGGTGATTGACTACAAATGTCATTTTAAAAGTACAAAACTGAATTATATTTTCACTCATTTGTGCTATTTCAGGATATCACAGAGAAACTGGTTTTTGATAGACCAGACGATCCTCTTCAGTTCATGTTAGAGCAGGTATTTTGTTTTGTATTTCAAATTTCCACTGTATGCTAGTGATCTATTTATAACTACAGTATATGAGCAATTCCAGCATTATAGTTGTGACATTATCAGTAAAAACCTAAATCATAAATACACAGAGAAAGTATTAAATTGAAACATCTGTTTTTATTTTCCAAAATAACCAACCACAGAGTTATGGGATTAGAAAAATATCAATCTGTAAACATATTTCATATTTTAAATGAGGAAAATAAAGATGCAATATGGATGTGACCAAAAATATGTAAGTTTACATATAACATATAATATAATACATATAATAATACATATAATAATACATATAACATATAATAAATAAAAATATATAATATACTTTGTATAAATTCTGTGAATTAAACTGCACTACCCAAAAGAAATAATGCTAATCAAAAGGATAAGAGTTGGCTCACTATAGAACAAAAAAAAACATTGATTTTATATATATATATATATATATATATTATATATATATATATATATATATATATATATATATATATATATATATATATATATATATATATATATATATTTTGCATCTATGAGGGTAAAGCTTGATAATGGTTGTGACATCTCTCCGTTATGGATGTGACAGATGTGAAACTGCCACTTGTGAGACCTTAAATCAAATATAATTGTTTGAAAACATTGACAGAGAAATTTTTAAGTATTTTACAGTAGTCAAATACAAGCCTACACACACACAAAAAAAAGAAAGGGTTTCACTATTTTGGTAAAAAACTTATTATTATTATTATAATTTTTTTATGGCATGGTTGACATTTGGAATTGCTTTAATACTTAATTGTTTCTGATGCCTGTGTTTATATTTGTGAATGATATGACTTGATAAATATGCAGTCTGATTTATTAGTGAAATTATTGGAGTTAGCTGTAAACCATTCTTATAACTGACTTTATAAAACTTTTGCAGGTACAAATGAAGATCAAAATCCGTGACGAGTCGAGCAGTACGTTTGTCAAAACATAAAGAACTCTTAAAGCAAAGCAACAATGCAAAGAATCGACTCTTAAGTTTGTACTTTTATTTATATATTTCTTGAAACGAGGTGTATTGGTTGCTGCAAGTCATTCAGTGACTCTACATTGTTGTTGTTTCCAAGCAACTGTTTTTTTTTTTTAATGTATCATGTTTCGCCACAATTTTTAGAAGATACTGTTTGCATTTATTTTCAGCAGTCAAACAGTGCTGAATTCTTCATAATGCTGTTTGTGTCTAAATATCTCACCAGGATATACTCAAGTGGCTAGCTAGATTTTAGAAATGTATAAAAATTAAATAAAGAAGTAATTACAGACAGGCTTTCTCTGTATTTCCGAGACACAGAATGAATCGATTTGCAGGCGTTATCACTCACTCTTATTGTTTTATGAAATAAACATGTTTTGTAAGACAAAGCAACAACTATATTTTGCGTTTTGCAAGTGTTTTCCATAAAAATGTCCACCTGGACAAAAGTAGCTGGCTTTTGCTCTGCACTCAGATGTCCATGAAGGATTTTGGCTGCATGAGTAAAGGAAGTCTTTGTTTATAATAGGCTCTTCTTACAGTGCATTTCTATAGTAATCTACATTTACTTTGGTGTTTCAAGACTGCTTTATCACATGCAGTCACTTCATTTAGAAATAAATATGTCCACAATATGTTTACAAATACTACTTGTTTAGTGTGTGGTGTTTGTTTATAGCTGTGTAGTACAATGTTACTAGTTTAGTGTGTGTGTGTGTGTGTGTTTATATGTTTTAGTATACGAGCAATTCCAGCGTTATGAATGTGACATTTGCAGTAAAAACTCAATTCACAAAAAAAGTATATGTTAAAAGTTACGGGATCAGAAAAATATCAATCTGTAAACATGCGTTATGGATGTGACAAAAAAAGTCTGTGAGTTTACAGTATACAACACACTTTGTAGAAATTCTGTTTATTAAACTGCACAACCCAAAAGAAACAATAATTTTCAAAAGGATAAGTGTTGTCTCTTTATAAAACAAAAATTATGGTTTTATTTTATTTAATATTTTCACATTTGTGAGGAAAAAGTGTTGTTATGGATGTGACATCTCTCCGTTATGGATGTGACAGATGTGAAATTGCCACTTGTGTGACTTTGGTAAATCAAATATAATAGTTTGAAAAATCTGACAGATGCAATTTTGAGTATTTCTAAAGTGCTGTAAAATACTTGCTTACCCAAATAAACCCAGAAAATGTAACTGTATTTTGGTGAAAATGTTTTTTTTTTCATGGCAAGGTTGACATTTGCATGGAATTGCTCATTCTTTAATTATGACTGTTTGGTGTCAAATGTTTTTTTAAACAGTGAACTTATGAACATAGTGTATACAGATGTTTATACTAGGGTTGTGTAATTAATCAAAATTGCATCGCAATTGCAAGAGACTGCGATATGAAATTTATCTGTATTATTTTATTTCCCCTACCCAGAGCAAATGCATGACTGGTGTCTGTGTGTGATAGTCTTACGCCAAATGAGCGATGAGCGTCTTGCTAAAGTCAACTGAAAGTATTGCTAGTGACGCTCGATCTAGTAGCAAGCAACAGCAAAGTACAATTTCAGAGGTCTTTCAGCCATGTTAGTTTTCTTAGTGTTCTGTATTTTTATAATTATTTATTTATTTTGTTTGTGTAATAAGCCTCACTATCTCCCTAATTTGAGTTCAAATAGTTTACAGAAAGGTAATTTTATTTGTGTTTACTGTTTGCTATAGAGAAAAATTAGTGTTTCATTTATGAATATTTAAAAATAAATGTTTAAGTTAATATCTTTTTAGTACTAATTAGTTTTTTTACTAACACTTGCTGCATTTTAGCAGTATGAAGTTATGATAGAGATTATTAAGCTGAAGCTTGACTACAAAATGAAATCACAAATCAAATCAAGATCGCAATATCTGTCTAAAAAAAATAAAAATCGCAATTAGATATTTTCCCCAAATTGCACAACCTTTGTTTATACTTACCTTTTAATTAGAATATGTTGGTTTCTGTCAAAGGGGCGGAGCTTCGGCTTTAAAAGGCAGCCCCAAACTCAAATTCAGGGTCAGTTAACCTGGCGAGCGAGCTACTGTGGTGTCGTGAGCAATTTGTGATCTGTCTGTGTATAATAGAGGGGTTGTACATAAGGTATATCGTAGCTGTGTCTGCTGTTTATTTATTCTTTTATTTTTGGTTAATTTGTTACTTTGCTGGGTTATTTTAGTTTTCACTGCCGTACACTGTAAATAAACCAATCATTCTGCACGTTACATCAGCGAGTAGTGCCATCATTTTTTTACAACGTTTTCTCACTTTACCATACATCGAGAACTGAATACAAGCCTTCTGGTTTGTCAACACAGGTGTGTGTGTGTGTGTGTGTGTGTGTATATATATATATATATATATATATATATATATATATATATATATATATATATATATATATATTGTGTATAGAGTTAGGGTTAGAAATTACAAATGTTACCTCTTTCCAACAGGGAAAACCACCAATAATCAAAAATGCTTGGTTTTGTATTTTTTAACTTTGATAAAAGGTAAAAAAAAAAAAATAAATCCAGTCCACAATTACTTTTTATATTGAAAATATGTAATTTTGTGTGTTGTTTTGACCAAATCAGTGACATCATTTATGAATTTGGCAATTAAAGAAGTAAAAAACTATAATTTTATAAACAATTTAGTAGTTTTAAACAGCACTAAGGTTGATTAACAGATTTATGCAAAAAAAAAAAGTGAAATTTTTTTTTTATCTGATGCATTTTTACAGCAGTTTAATTAAGTGGAGGTTTTCATCCTCAACTTAACAAAAGGGTAGTCAATTTGCCCAGAGTGTATTGTTTATAAAAAAAATCTAAATATGTTTTTTTTCTCAAAAAATGTATCAAAATTAAATTTGTCACCACAAATCATTCCAAATTGAGACACAAAATCACCCCCGAGTGGATGAAAACATCCCCAACCGTACATAAGGGTTAAATTAAGCCATTTAATTCTCTCAAAATGGTAGTGTAATTTACACATTTGACAGACAATAATTTACGGCAACTTATTTTAGGTAAATGTAAATTTTGTAGTCTAACTGAAGTGTTTCAGACACATCGGAGAAAGCTGCAGATGATCGTCTATTTAAAATACTTTGCATTGCCTCCAACTACAGGAAATACAAATACTATTTAAATGCTATTTCTACTATTCAAATATAATGATTAGTAAAGCTTGTCGTGTGTTTCTGCCGTGCCAATTTCTATAGGGAGACATTATCACATTGGAGGCAATTCTTTAAGCATTTTTGCAGGCATTCTGAAACATCTTTTGTTTGAAAAAAGATTATACTTGACTCAAGTGACACTTGAACTTACCCCATGTACCAATAATATATCAAATACATCACAAAAATGATGCTAATATGGCAATAACACTGTTATTAAACAACATAACGTCATTTGAAACGCTTAAAGGTTTGTCACAGTGTACACGTTACATGTGCAGTACTTTTTTTATTTAGTTAAGAATGGAATACATACAATAAATCCAATTTGAGTGAATACAAAAACATATTACAAGGTTAGTGTTTTTGATTACCATAACTGACAGCTTCATTATCTTTCATCCTTGTCCTTGTCTTTAAAATACATTGTCGAAATGTCTTTGCCTTACGTTTTACACAGAACACTGATGTTTTTATGATCTCTCTTTAAAAACTGAATACATCATTTTGGATAGCATTTAGTAATCAACAGTTACATTACAGTAGCTTTATCTACTAAAGAAGAGAGAATGCAACTTGAGACCATGTTTGAATTATTCAAGAGCACTGACCTTTAAACTGTCGAATCACTGGACTTTACTCTTAATTATTGATTTTTTTTGACTTTATAATAGACTTGGGAGAACAGTTTTGCATTGCTTGACAAAACAAGACGCTATGGAATAATAAATAAACATTAGTTTTTTGGAATTACTCAATTTTTGGGCTATTTTAAAAGCTTTGGCCTGCACACCTACTGCAATTTCCTCATGTAGATTTGTACATAACTTATAAATGCTATTGCAAACATTATATGTTCCAATCAGGACACAAAGACCACAAATTCTACAGAAAGGCAATGGAGGAGTCAGTTTAAATCGAGATGTGCCTGTACAGTCTGTATTTACATATACAGTTTCCCATAGGTTTCAGTTTTTTCTTGGAAAGATATAAACAATATCCGATATAAATCTAACAGCAGTAGCAGCAGAATTTTACACAAAGCTTAATACTTTTGTAATATCAGGATTAAAGAGATAGTTCACCCAAAAATTGCTCACCCAGGCCCGGATTGGCTAATCGGGAGGACCGGGAGAATTCCCGGTGGGCCGGTCTGTTTTTTGGCCGCGAGGGCCAGTGTCCCTAGCTCCAGAATCTGTTGCTCTCAGCAGTCACACTTTTTAAAAATAATTTATTTATTTACTTGACCACAGCCTTCTTATTCATTATTTTACCGCAGCTGTGCTCTTTTTATCTATTTTCTTGTAGCCTCATGAACAATATACGTAGATAAGATAGATATGAGTAGATAAGTCACCTCTCCATGTATAACTGTTGTGGTATAGTGGTTAGCACGCCATTCCGGGTTCGGTCCTCATCTGAGTAACATTTTTTTTTTCATTTTTATTGTTAAGACATAATACTGTAAGGGTTATGGAACGTTTGAAGTTCTAAAACAGCTGTTTTCTCAAAAAAAGACGTGATAGTGTAATTAGTAACTGAGTTGGAAATGTCCTTATTTTAATATAGTCAGTGGTGAACTGAGGTGGGCCGGTCTAAGGCTTGAAACTCCAGGGCTGAAAAAGAGTCCCACTCCGGCCCTGTGCTCACCCATTACTTGTTTCGAATCTCTATGAGGTTTCTTCTGTTGAACACAAAGGAGAAGTGGAAAGATCATTGGAAACCTTTAACCATTCACTTCTATAGCAGTGGTCCTCAACCACCAGGCTGTGGACAGGTACCGGTCGGTGGATCAATTAGTACCAGGCCGCACGAGAAATCATTAATTATTTCCTTTTTATTTATTATGTGAGTCTGAACAATCTTTTATTTTTTATATTATGAAAAATGACCAGATTCTCTTGCTTACGTCTCAGTCACCTGAGCGGCCAAATTTAACCCACGAGCAGCAAAATGAGTAAGAAACTAACGTCTTTGGAAGGTTTCTTTGCTAAGGGGAAAAGACCCAGTAAAGGACCCACGAACTGCCAAGGAATGGATGCACAACTCATTTGTCAATAAATCAGGTGAATCCAGCATGACTGTGCGAGAAGATAAAATGCTGGAGATTGCAAATGACGGCGGCATTTTAGGCCTTTTAGGAGTCGTTCCCAAATCGCGTATTTCTAGAGTTTGCACAAGTAAGTTGTTTCCAATGGGGCTGTGCACGCAAGCAGCGTGACATGCTTGCGCCTTTCAGACGCACCCAGTAAATAAATTCCGCGAGCGCACCGCGAGTCACGTGACAATAACTGACCGATAAGCTTTAGCTTATATGGAATATACACATTTCACTAGACCAATTATCCCAGACAAACACAGAACACCCGAACATTTATTTTATCTTTGCCATGATGAAAGTAAATAATATTTGACAAGATATTTTTAAGACACTTTTATACAGCTTAAAGTGACATTTAAAGGCTTAACTAGGTTAATTAGGTTAACTAGGCAGGTTAGGGTAATTAGGCAAGTTATTGTATAATGATAGTTTGTTCTGTAGACTATCGAAAAATGACAGCTTAAAGGGGCTAATAATTTTGACCTTAAATGGATTTTTACAAAATTAAAAACTGGTTTTATTCTAGCTAAAAAAACAAGACTTTCTCCAGAAGAAAAAAAATATTATCAGAAATACAGTAAAAATTTCCTTGCTCTATTAAACATCATTTGGGAAATATTTAAAAACGAAGAAAAAAATTCAAAGGGGGGCTAATAATTCTGACTCACCTCAATGAATACAGCCAATATATTTTGGTGCATTTAAGCCTTTAAATGCATTTAAACATTTAAAGTTTTATTAAACAGTTATATCCCTTAAATTAAGAGTTTGTCACTGAAGTGCTTTAGGAATATAAAGATCTTATCTTTAAATTAATACAAGTTATTGCCAACAGATTTTCAACTAAACTTTATATGTTTTAAAGTTGTCTTGATTATTCCTGTTAATTAAAATAGCATTTACTATTTTCTCCAACATATTAATTTGCTTTAGTTTTATTGGTGAATCCAGCATGGCTGTGCAAGAAGATCAACTGCTGGAGATCGCAAATGACGGCTGCCTTTTAGGGGTCGTTCCTATATCGCGTATTTCTAGAGTTTGCACAAGTTAGTTGTTTCTAATGGAGGTGTGCATGCAAGCGGCGTGACATGCTCGCGCCTTCCAGACGCACCTAGTGAATAAATTCCGCGAGCGCACCGCGAGTCACGTGACAGTAACTGACCGATAAGCTTTAGCTTATATGGAATATACACAATTCGGTAGACCAATTATCCCAGACAAACACAGAACACCCGAACACTGCAGTGCTTTGTATTTTTTTCCATAAATAAAACTTGTGTCAGCGCTGCAGCAATGTTGTGTCAGCTTCTCATTTTCCTAGCAACCTACAAAACCCATAAAACCAAACCCCCCAGCCCCTGCCCCAACGGTCCATGGTATAATTGTCACACATTGACACGGTCCGTGGTGATAGAAAGGTTGAGGACCACTGTTCTATAGTATTTGTTTTGTATGTTTTGGAACCACTTGAGGGCGAGTAAACATTCATTTTCCTTCGGCCCTTATTTTTCATGGAAAACCACAGTGGAACGAACCACCAATTGGACTTTGTTCACCAATTTTAGTATATCCAATTCACTTATAGCGCATTTCTTTAGACTGTCTTTAGACCTACGCAAACATGGGGAGAACATGCAAACTACACATAGAAATGCCAACTGGCCCAGCTTGAGAGGCAATCAGCAACCTTCTTGCTGTGAGGCAACAGTGCTAATCACTGAGCCACAGTGTAGCTGGCGAGTAAACGGTGAGTAAACACAGTTTTGAGAGAACTATCCCTTTAACGGCACCTTGATTTCCGAGCATCACGCCATGTGTTCTAGAGTATACCGACACTCGGTCACATTTGATAAGATATTTACTAGTCATCACTATTGATGACAGGTCAGTCTTATCTCACTCTATCTGCCTGTTACTTCTGTTGTCGAATATCATAGACCTCCTTTGTGGCTGATAGAAGCAGCTAGTCGAGGTCTCAAGCCTTTGTCCACTCTTTGGCAAGGTCATTTTATTCCGCAAGGTTACCCCTTCAGTAGTTTTGAGGTTTTCAGCTAGTTCGTTTGCATAGGCATCAAACGGTGATGTTTCAGCTTTAATGGGGGATAAAGCTTGCTTATTATCATCTCCTACTGAAGGGTAGTCCATGATAGGAAATGGTGGGCTGAACAAGATGAGACTTTGAGGTCTTGGACGATTTCTGAAAGATGATCTCTGAAGAAGCGATGAGCGCTCTGGTCTGGGACGGTCCATAAACGTGTCACCATTTGCAGAACGTTTTCTTCTCAACACCGGGAGATCTGGAATGGATGTTGGCTTGTAATTCTCATTGCACGTCGCACTATTCATGGACTTGTGTCTTTGAATGCCTGATGGAGGTTCAGTGCTTTGCCGGTCTTCCCTGCAGACTTTCTGAAGGGGAAATAAAGAACTTGCTTTTCCCAACTTGCTTTTGGTGGGTTTCTTCTCAGGTGTGCTTTTGTTGACCTGATCAGTGCTCTTCTCAGCGTTTTTCCTTTCAGGTAGAGTATGAGGTATGTGGCTGTATTGAATTTTTGGGGGAATAACAGGAACGGCTTTCGCTTGGCAGGTTTTGATCATGAACGCAGTACGGACTGATGATACGCTGACTGGCGCGGAGTTACGTCGCATTGGTGCTTTGGGCCCACTCAGGAATAGCTCCAATTCTAGAGACGAACTACCATCCTTGGCTTCAGGTGTCATCCATTGTTTTCCACTTTTCAGATACTGGCTATTTGAGATGTCTCTGAAACCTTGATGTCCTAAATCGAGATTTAGAGAGCATGGCCTGAGTTTGGGTTTACCGCTTCCTTGACTCTTCTCCATAATGCAGAACTCATGGGATGTTTGCCTGTGAAATCTCTGAGAGCGTTTCTGCTTCGCTTTGCTCATGTTTTGCATTCCAGTAGTCTCCTCTGGATCGTTGAACGTCTTCAGTTGTTTAACCTGTGGAATCTCCAGTTTGATGTCATCTTTGGCTCCTTCAAACTTGAACTTATCCCTGTCAAAATGCGCCGTTATCTGCGCAAAACAAGCTACATCTGTGTCTGCGTTTTTCTTTCCTGTTGGGAAGTCAGAGTTTCCGAGTTCTGCCGTCACAGCAGCTTCGGTTTGAGTTGGTGCAATTTCATCAAGCGCAGCTGGTTCTTTAGCTTCAGGATTCCTGCTGTTGGGTAACTCATCTGCGTTTGGTTTATCCAGAACTTGGCAGTGAACTTTCTGACATGGCAAAATTTCTCTTTGTGTGGGAAACAGATCCTCAAGCTTTGGAGAGTGAAGAGGGCTGGTGACCCACTGCTGGGCAGAACACAAATCCTCCCATGGTTCAACCTGATCCAAATTACTCCCGCAAGCATCCACATCATCTTGGATTTCCAACGTCAAATGCTTTTCATTCAAACAAGTCGAGAGCCTTTCCAAATTTCCCTTAATTCTGCCTGCTAAGTCCAGTTTTCTGGGCTCATCACTAACTTTCTTATTTTCCTTCTCACAAATGTCACTTGTTCTTAATGACTCCTCATCAGTATGAAGATCCAATTTTACAGAGACACTTGTGTTATCTTTCGAGTCACTTTTAGAAGTGCCGTCTTTTTCACAAAGATCAATTTTGGGTTCCTCTTCAATGCACGGTTCTGCGTCTTGGAGAATATCTGTTTCCTTTAGATGGAGAAACGGGGAAAGCTGTAGACTGGTTGTTATAATGTTCCGTGCCTTGTGTTCCGTCCTGTCAGAATCACTATCCAAGTAATTCCAGTCACCGTCACATGACAGCAATCTTTCAGGCATATGCTTCATGACAGAATTAAAGGTAGTAGCACCAGGATGATCGAACATTACGTTTTTGGTGAGGTCTATAAACAGTCCCTTTGATGAAACTGTGTTTGAGGGCAAACTACTTCGCCGTGCTTGAGCACTAAGCTTGAGGTTGCCCTGATTTCCATTTATCTTGGTGATGCAGGGTTTTACTCCGTCATTTGGCATATTTGTTGTTTTCACCTCAGTGATGGAAACCTTGTCATGCATCCCAGATGAAGGCACCTTGTCGATTAATTCCTGTCAAACACAAAAAAAAAAGGTGAAAATTAAAGACATTTGTCGCAGTACTATTTCTGATGCCACAATTGTCTAAAGCAGGGGTCTCAAACTCGCGGCCCACGGGCCATTTGCGGCCCTCAGTGCAATATTTTGTGGCCCGCGCCGACCGCTGTACACTGACAGAATCAGCGGAGCGGGGAGCTATCCGTACACAGCGGTCACTGGCATTCCCCGCCCGCCGTGTAAACTAAGGGGCGGGGATGCCGGTGACGTCACCACGCACCCCGCCCCTTCGTTAGACGCTGTGACGGGCGGGAAGTGTTTAGGAGGGAACTCGCGCCGGCCAGAACCAAGATAAGCTGTTCCCGCCCCTGCCTGCCACTTAGCTACCTATCTGCAGCCTGCCACCTACCTAGCTACAGCCTGCATCTTATATATATTATAGGTAGATACAGACTGGTACAGACTGATGTGACTGGAGTGGGGTGGGGGTGTTTTATTTATACATATATACGCCTTTTTTAGGTGAGGGAATTGAAGTTTGGAGTGAGTTCCCCCACTTTTTTCCCTAGGACTTCAATAAGTCAAAGTACAGGTCAAGACTTAATGATGATCATCTTCAAGCCATACTGAGGGTCTCAACTGCTTCCGCTCTAAAGCCAAATGTGGTTCAGATTTGTGAGAAGAAGCGCTGTCAAGTCTCTGGCAGCAAGAAGTAGGCAAAAGATGCCATGTTCAGTAGAACTGTTCATAATCTTCACTCAATGTTCTATTAATGTTCAGGACACTTCATGTTCAGAAGAAATAATTAAAACTGTTAATAATGACATTTGATCCCTTATGCGGCCCAGCCTCACCCAGACTTTGCCTTCTGCGGCCCCCAGGTAAATTGAGTTTGAGACCCCTGGTCTAAAGGCTGATTTATACTTCTGTGCGCTGTTTCAATAGCTCTTCTGAAATGCTAGCTGGCAGTAGGTTTTTATGTTCCTCTGTGTCGAGTTTCTTCACTGGCGTTTTGTTTTTCCGGAATGCAGCCTTAATGTACAAGTGGCTAAAACTTGCTCGTTCAGAGGCGGAAACCGGCGGACGTGCAACAATTTTAATCATAAGGTAAACACAAAGCAACAAGTTTCCATCTAGAGCTACTTCACGGGACTCAACACTAAACATTCGCTCCAACAGGTTAGCACTGGTTGCAGCTACCAAGCCAACCAATCACAGAGCTTGCACTACAAGTCGTTGTGACGTAGTAACGTTTTTTGAGAGATCGTTGGCATCAGCCACAGCAAGGGGTATGCGATCGTGCGAAGGCTGTCCCAGAGCATACGCACCACTTGATGTAGAAGTATAAATTACACTTAAGGCTACATTTACATGACAAATCAGCACAATCTCATGACAATTTGTAACTTTTTGATTTTGTGGCTAATTATTGTGAATTCATACGATCTCATTCGTACAATTTTGTATGATTTGCTTATTCCCCAGTGAGGGTTGGGTGTAGTGATGGGTTTGGGTGCCATGCCTCCTTTTAAAAATCGTACATTTTCGTATGACTGAACTCGTACACATTCGTATGAATTAGCCACTAAATTGACAAAACGTAAAATTCTTACATTACCTCTTGAGATAAGGCTGGACAAATATGTAGACAAAACCAAAGAAGTTTATATCTTAAATTTGTAAAGTTTCAAGGTTACATTCAATTTTCAAAATGATAAGCATCTTACACAACCATGAAAATGACAAAAAAAAAAAAAACGCTGTTGTACTACATATGCCAGACCTTTACTTGGCACTGTCAGCTTGTTAGTAAAGAGCACCTGTAGGAAAGTGATGATTTGAAGTTGTCGGCTTTTGTCAAAGACTGTATTCCAGTTCAATTGTTCATGCCCTTCCCTCGCTAACTTCCCTCCATCTCGTTCCCTCAGATGTACATCATTGATTACATTACTCTAGTGTCCACTACTGTCGGAGCATCTGAATAGGTCTAAATAAAATGCCCTTAACCACAGGTGTCAAACTCAGTTCCTGAAGGTCTGCAGCTCTGTACAGTTAAGTTCCAACCCGAATTAAACACACCTGATCAAACTAATTGAGTTCTTCAGGCTTATTTTAAACCTTCATGTAAGTGTGTTGAAGCATAGTTGGAACTAAACTGTGCAGGGCTGCGGCCCTCGAGGAACTGAAGTTTGACACCTCTGCTCTAAACCCTTGAGCATTTGAGAACTACACTGTTGTGACGTCACATCTGGGACACATAGATTCTAGAGTGGACATATAAAGCTGATTCGCTCCCTCTGTCAAAATTAAGTTATGGAGGAAATGTTCATGTAAACTTCCCTTGTTCACTTGATGAAGTGGAACATACTTGGGCATTCATCCTGAGAAAACAACGAAAGGGAATTTTACAAGTGCGTTTCTGAAATTGTCTCAGCTGTTGGTTGTAATGTAAAGTAAACTTGCACTACGCTTATGAAGTGCATGACAACCTCATTGTCAAAGACTCGTTTCAGGTGTTTACTCGGACACGACAACAGATGCGTTTTAAAAAACGTCCACTTTTTAAACCAGTGTATTTTCAATCACAATTACACTGTTGCTGTGTAACCGAGCAGGCAAAACGAATGAAACGTTTTCAGTTTTTAGCTGAAAATGTCATGTAAAGACAGTGTAAAGACCCTCAACACTGTAAAAAACGCTGAGTTCCACTAAGTTCCTTCATGTTATCCTAACTCAAATCCATTAATTAAATGTATTGTTTTTACAAATTTAAGTAGATTAAACATGAAGCAATTAAGTTGTCACAAAAAAAGTCAAGATGAGACTGATTCAGCTAATTTTAAATAAGTTGTTTGAACAATCAGGAAAAATTATGTTTTGAGGGAAGAACGTGGCTTAAAGAGATGGTTCATCCATAAATGACTTACTTAACGTTTTAAACCTACAGTACCTGACGAAAGTCTTGTTGTCTATCCCAGTTGTAAGAGCAACAAAAAATAACTTGACTAGATTCTAGTTCAGGGGTCACCAATCCTGTTCCTGGAGGGCCGGTGTCCCTGCAGGGTTTAGCTCTAACTTGCCTCAACACACCTGCCTGGATGTTTTAAGTATACCAAGTAAGAGCTTGATTAGCTTGTTCAGGTGTGTTTGATTAGGGTTGGAGGTAAAATCTGCAGGACACCGGCCCTCCAGGAACAAGTTTGGTGACCACTGTTCTAGTTGATCATTTGGAAAAGTGGCAGAAGGTAGATTTTTTTTTGACGAATCATCTGTTGAGCTGCATCTCATTCATCACTAATTCTACAGAAGACCTACTGGAACCCGCATGGACCCAATATTCTCATAGAAATCAGTCAAGTTTGGTGAAGAGGAAATCATGGTTTGGGGATACATTCAGTATGGAAGAGTGTGAGAGATCTGCAGAGTGGATGGCAATATCAACAGCCTGAGGTATCAAGACATTTGTGCTGCCCATTACATTACAAACCACGGGAGAGGGCAAATTCTTCAGCAGGATAGCGCTCCTGCTCATACTTCAGCCTCCACATCATTGTTTCTGCAAGCAAAGAAGGTCAACGTGCTCCAGGATTGGCCAGCCCAGTTACCAGGTATGAACATTATTGAGCATGTCTGGGGTAAAACGGAGAAGGTGTTGAAGATGAATCCAAAGAACCTTGATAAACTCCGGGAGTCCTGCAAAAACGCTTTCTTTGCCATTTCAGATGACCTTATTAATAAGTG